AGCCTATGATGGTGCTCGTTGCATCCATTTATGCCACAGTTTCTTTGAAAATTACAGTTTCCTTTGTGTCTGAACAGACACAATGGACATACTCGCAATTTAAGTATTTCCTGTCGTCTGTTTTGTACAGACATTTTTCCAAATTTTTGGCACTCTCTTAGTCTATGTGTTCCGTTACACATATAACAACGTACGTTGTTTTCTGAGTGCACATTGACTCTATTCCTTTTTTCGATCGGAGCTCTATTAGAATTATAGAGCTCACGATGAATGTCGGCCTTAGGCTTTAGCCATTTAGCCAAATCTTTAAGGGAGGGTACTGAATTGCCTTGTTTGGCATTAGATTCTACTACCTCCAACCATTTTATCTGGGTGTCGCAAGACATCTTGCTTACCAGTTCCTCAACTAAGCGAGGATCATTTGAGTACGCCATCTGATTGGAGGCGGTTAAATGCGCTATCAAATTTTCTAGACCATTCGATATCTCGACTATCGCTAAGTGGCCTCCTGTTCTAATACGCTCGAGATCGTCTCGCAGCTCCTTATAGACCCGTTTTGACTGTCCAAATTGTTTTTCGAGTCGTTCCATTATTTGCGGTACGTTTGCTTGATCAAGCATCATGGACTGTACCGCCTTAGCCGCTGGGCCCCCTAGTGCCTTTTGCAGCCGTATCAAATTTTCCAAACTGGTATATTTCCCCTGCTCGGTCGTGGCCTCGAACATTTTCTTAAATGCTGGCCACTCTCGAGCGTTCCCAGAGAACTGGGGCAGACTCATTTCTTGCCGTTTTAAATACATAGCTACGGAATCGTCGTCCGCAGCTGTCTCTTTTCTTACGAGTTCGTTTTCAAGCTTGACTTTATTCAGCTGGATCGCCTGAGCGATGTCCAGCAATACGTCTCGCTTGTCCTTTTCTTCCTTATGTTTAGATTCAAGCTCACGTTTGTAGTGCGCTAGCTCCGTCTCCATAGACGTCGCGTGAATCTCGGAGGATTTCTGTGCCTTTGCACGTGCCTCCAGCTCTAAAGCTATATTTGCTAATTTATTCTTCATCTGAATAAGTTCGTCGGCTTGCGCCTTCTTAATACTTTCATCCATGCGGCATTTCGCACACGACCAAGGTTCTTTTTTATCAGGTAGACAGGTGAGTTCCACGCATCCATAGTGGAACCACCTATCACATTGGTCACAAGCGACCATATCTTGCACCTCGTCCTTACGAGTGCATAGGCGACAATGGCCGAGCACATTGTCTACAAAATTCATTGCTATTTTGTTTGTGTTTCTTTCTTTTTAATGACTTTTCTTTCTTACACCCTTTCTTTCTATCTCACTAGAGATTTTATATCGGTTTTACGTGCACCCTTCTGTTGCTCAAGTGAGCCTGTTTTTCTTATTTTCCGTTTCTCTTTTAACGAGTACGTTGACTCGTTATGCAATAAACGTTTCGGGTTTATGACCCGCCTGGCGGATTTCTTACAGGGAATCGATGGGTTCGTTGACCCGTTTTTATTCTCCTTCCCCTTAGAACTTCGTAGGCTAATTGCCTGTTTAATTTTCCTCGTGATCGTGTTCTCTAACGAGGTGTATTTTGTTTATTTCCTGCTCAGGAGCTGGAACCCTTGGGAACTTGTCCCGAATAGTCACTATTGACTTCCTCTTGCCCCGGATTAAACCGCAGACCTGTGCAGGATTTCCAACTCAGGAGCTGGAAATCCGCTAAAACTATCTCGGATTACACCGCAGATGTTTTACTATGGCATTCACGAACCTTTTGTTCGGAATCCTTCCTGTGAGTCCCTCCTATGTGGACTCCCGACTTTCACGGTGGGTCCCTGATAATTATTCTCGAATTTTTCCTATATAAATTCCGATAATTATCTCCCGTATTCCTGTGGGTTCTGACAAATACCTCCCGAACTTCTTGGGACTGATAAATATCCCCACCAGCCTTCCTTACGAAGGTTGCCCTACCTACTGTCGGGCCCGGCCTACTTATGTAGGCACTGTTTCGAAACTCCCGGCTTACGCCGTTGCAGACGTTTCTTCCTTGGGCGTTCGCGTACCTTCCGTGCGGAACCCCGTCTTACTGGAACCTATCCCGGATTAACACCGTGGACGTTCCTAAACGAATTGTGTTTTTGGGTTTTTAGGCCCCTTATAGTCCGGAGACTGCTGTTATGTTTGGGTTTTTAGGCCCCTTATAGTCCGGAGACTGATTCAATTCACACTTTATCTTAAACACTTCACTTTAGCACTTGATTAGTTGGGTCCTAATTGGCAGGGTGTTATTGATTTGTTACTTATTAATTAGGAAAAGAATAATTACTTACCTGATGACCCTGCCGGTGCTAGAGTCTCCTTATTTCACTTAAGCCCGTAGGCTTTCACTTTACTATTAGACTTTCTTCCGGTGTCGGAACACCTACACTGTGAGTTCTTATAGCACTATTGCTCCTCTCTGGAGCCACCATATGTTCGCGACGCGCGTGTCACGTTCATCAGACGAAGCCGAAGGGGCTTCGTCCTTTATTATTATTTTTCGAGAGGAACTCGCAATCCGCGAAGGATCACGCGGCGAACTTTCGGCGTGCGGTTATTCACAGACCAGACCGGAGGAAGGGGTTCGAATGCCTCACGGAGGATCCTAATCGAATTGGTAGGTTTCGACTGGCTTCGAGCTCGTCGTTCCAACAGCAGGAACCGATACCACTTGAAGCGAGATTCGCCTACTTTCGAACAGGATTCCTTAGGACTTGGCTGAGTGCTCTACGGTTGGGATATGGTTGGACGGTAGCTGCCCAGCTCAGATGGGGGCAGTAGCGCGATTCCAACAGATACACCAGCGGTAAACCTGATCAGCCTAGTCGGGGAGTGCCCAAACTCTGAAACGGGTTCCGACCAATAAAGGTGCTCGGCCGGTACTTGCCCAGCTCAGATGGGGGCAGTAGCGTCGATTCCGAGGAAACTCTTATTGGAAACGGATTACCGCGAGAGAGTTTGATAGGCTGGAGGCGAAGAGTGTTATTGAGGTGATATGTAGGAGTAAGGGTGGACCTGGCGACAAGTCCGTACACTTGGATAGGATAGTGAAAACTGAATATATTTTGGTTGTATCAAAACGCTTTTATAGCGTCCCTTAGACCTAAGTTTTGGGCGTCGGTGCCCACGTACGCATGTGCGTCTATCTTCCCGCACAGGGGTTCTAGACGCACTTTCTTCCTAATTCTAGATTTCCCTTGGTCACGCATCCTAGTAGGGGAACGTTTTCATTTTTAACTTTTATGACCCAAGTTCTCGCGCCTCGCTGGTGCATGTAAATTACTTTAAATCAATCCGCACCAGGCTTCCTGTTTACATTGGCCCGCTCCCCAGATCTAGCCTATAGCTTGGATGCGTACGCATGCATCGCTGCCTATCTAGGCCTAAGTGCATTTTTCCATTGATTTTGCTCTCTGCGGTGGAACCGTCGCTAGCTCGGTTTTATTGCCCTTTGTGTTTTTGGAAGGATGCCGAACGCAAGATTGTCCCTTGGGACGATTTCATTGCTTTCTATTAATGCTTCAACTATCCTTCCCAAGACTGGTTCTATTACGATAATTCGTTTATCTTGGCGTTGTTACGCATCTTTTTAGGGAACCAGATTTTATTACCTTTGCGCCAGGCTCGCATTGCCGGGCGCACCGAGCTCCATGCGACCGATTCATTACCATTCCATTCACATAGCACGCGGACTGCCTTGGCATCGAGCGTCTAATACACCGCAGCGCTGCACGCATTGCAGGGCTGCATATGGTTCACCGTGGAGCGAAGAAAGTGGAAAGTAAATGCGTACTGATTCTATATGCGTCAGCCAGATCTGGCGGTGTGGCATGTTTACTTCTCGTTTACGAGGCGTGAGTTAGGGTAGGTTTGGTCTTGACTTTGTGCTTCTTGCACCTCTCTTAGACAAATTTCTTGCTTTCGCTTATTTCCCGTACGAGGGCGGTGACCTATCGTGGGAACTTGAAAATGCATAATGAATTGCGATATTTTACGTTGCATCTGCAACAATCCCCATCAAGCGAACCGTCTTTGATTGGAACTACAATGCAACAATAGCACGAATGCTTCCTGTGGATTCATTTAGACTAACTTGGTGAGATCGTATCTGATTTTATCTATTTAAACTAAAATAACATGATTTTCTTAAATTTGGCAAATTCTTAATAGAGTTTGAACGCCAAATGACTGCACATTTTTGAACATTTGGTGGAACATTACTGTAATTCATATATATTAAAACAGTATATTATATACTGGGTTGGGGGGGGGGGGGGGCAGCCTAAGGGAATCAAAGGATTTGTTAACTGGACGCGGGTTCGTGGATTTGCCAATCCCTTGTCCCGTGATTACAGATGGCCATCTGGTCGTTTTGTCTTCCAAAGGTCTTCAATGAAGCTGGTTCACCCTGCTGCAACAAACCATAAGGCAGAACTTTACAACTGGTAAAGTATCTGCAGACATTGGTAATCCTTGCACTGATGGTGGGTTCCATTCATATGACATCACATCACGTATTGCATATAATTTACAAAAGTGATTATCAAAAGAAGAACAGCGTATTTATAAAAGAAGGGAAAACTTTCAGAGACTATCCACATACGGCGTGGGAGGCGTTGATTTGGTGGACATCAAAAGTACATAAAACGCATCTTGAAACCATTCAGAGGGTTGTGGACTTGTGGAAACAAAACCTGGCGCTTAGTCGAGTGGCGCAAAGCAGTTAGTAATTGAGGATTCACACTTACGGCATTTTTTGATGTATTGTTTTAACTCTAACTAACTGTCTGCACTAGTTCTTCTATTAGCGGAAAGAAAACCTAGGCCAATATCTCAAGACACTTCAGCCAAAACACTCTGGGTGGGAAAGGGTTAATCCCAATGATTTCCGCGAAATGTCGTACAGCTAATGCTACAATAAATATGTGAATAAAATAACTTAACAGTTTTTATTAAGCTTACATATTTATTTATATTCACGAGAGATTTGATTTTGTACCAATTGAACTCTACAAAGCTGTATGATTTGTTGTTTTGGTTTATGGATTCTTCTAAAATTTTCTTATATTCTACCAAACAAACCAGATACACAAACACAAAGATCTCAGTCGAATAAGTCACCAACCCCGACGTTGACTGCCGAGCTTCTGAGAATACTAACATCATCGTCGTCATCGTTTTTATTAGGAAGGGACTTCAAATCTTGATTCGAGTTGAGATTATCTCTGGATTCACTGTCCAAATCAATCAACTTACTTTCTCGAACGCCTGCTGCTTTGTCCAGATTATTCAGCTTTGGTTCGGCTTCCACGCTGTACCGATCGTCCTCATTTTCTTTGTCATGCAGCTGCTGCGGCACACTGCTCGTACTCGCCTGAGGCTCATCCCGTTCCTCCACCGTGCCCGCTACTGTTCGATCATTCAGCAGAGGAGCAGCTGCTCGTTCGCGTGCTTCTTTTCGGCAGGTAATTAAGTACATCATTACGTAAAAAATAACCGGCAGGCTACTGATTCCCGAAGCAAACCAGATAAATGCCGTCTGTGAATGTTGCTTGCCTTTGCAGCAGTTGTATATGGCACTCCAGGCGTATCTGGTCTGATTCATTCGGTCTTCGATGTCGAAGCATATCAACCCTTTTCGGTTTTGCACCAAACCCTCGTAGTAGACCTGCATATGGTTGTAGTTTCCGGCACAAACGTCACATGGATTTGTGTAATTCTTGGCGCAGTTTTGCAGTTCATCATAATATTGAAAGAATTCAGCCGTATCGTTTTGATTGGCAACGCAATCCTGACAGTGGGCAGCATCCCAGATTGACGTTATTTGGTCGTACAACGTTTGAAACACATTCAATCGGTTTTGGTTCAAGTTTTTTTCACAGGTTTTATTACCTTGGGCGTAGTGGAACCACTCGACAGCTGTTTTGTAATGCGAAACCGTTTGGTTGCTGGTGCAGAAGGAATTTACCGGGTAAGTTTGAACAGGCAACTGGTTGAGCAATCGGACGTACTGTCCGACGAAATATTCGATTTCCTTGCAGTCGTGAACTTGCCTGAAATTAAGATGCAACGGCCTTTAAAACGCCTCAAAGGCTATTACAGTTTTGAGCGAGTGCTTACTTCTGTGCAACTGTACCACCGAGTCCGAGAAAACTGAATATGAAAATAGTTTTGAAAATGTCCATGTTGCTAAACATTGCTTTCGAACATTCACAGAGCAAACCCTACCCTACAGGAACACTACAAGATTTTTAATTTTATATGAATCACCACTTTTACGATAAGCGCAACTACGTTCAACAAAATAACTACTTTGTTCTCGATGCGAGCGATGCGAGGTATCTTGTTAATGTCGTTGTGTTGTTATCACGGCGGGTGTTGAAAAAATATGTCCCAGGAGTGTATTTACGTCAAATGACGCCGTCTGGCAGTCAGGGTTGCCAAATGTAAATCTGTGTTGTTATCCTAAAAAATCTTATCAGCAAACCCCACACGGTAAGAAATATTGTCAATACTTACATGTGAATACAGAAATATTGTCAATACCGATGTATTCACGTCAATATAGAATAATATTGACAATACGATTATTGTCAATACAAACAGTCGTGTAGGGTCCATACCCCACACGTATCAATATATTGACGCGAAGGGGAATTATTTAAAGCCCTACTGTAGTACTTTAGAATTATTGACATTAATATTGATGATGTGAATACAGAAATATTGTCAATATCGATGTATTGACGTCAATACATCGATATTGACAATATTTCTCGATGAACATTTCAAATGGTCCTATCTGCGTTGATCGATTCTCTTCATCGACTTTCTTTTTTGATAATCACTGCTATGCAAACAGATTTCGAGCTAATTTTACCGCATAGTTTGAAAACGGAGATTTTTATCTAGCGTCCAAAACATCAAATACAACAGGAAAAGGTTTTGCAGCTACGTTGTATGTATGTCCCAAGTAACCAAAAGTTCCGCATTCAACGATTAAAATCACTTTCAAGTTCCGTAAAGTTCAAATAAAGTTCCAACCGAACCATCAAGTTCCATAAAGTTCAAATAAAGTTCCGACCGAACTTTCAAGTTCCATAAAGTTCACATATAGTTCCAACAGAACTTTCAAGTTCCATAAAGTTCAAATAAAGTTCCGACAGAAGTTCCATAAAGTTCAAATAAAGTTCCGACAGAACTTTCAAGTTTCATAAAGTTCAAATAAAGTTCCAACCAAACCTTCCAGTTCCATAAAGTTCAAATAAAGTTCCGACCGAACTTTCAAGTTCCATAAAGTTCACATATAGTTCCAACAGAACTTTCAAGTTCCATAAAGTTCAAATAAAGTTCCGACAGAACTTTCAAGTTTCATAAAGTTCAAATAAAGTTCCAACCAAACCTTCCAGTTCCATAAAGTTCAAATAAGGTTCCGACAGAACTTTCAAGTTCCATAAAGTTCAAATAAAGTTCCGACAGAACTTTCAAGTTCCATAAAGTTCAAATAAAGTTCCGACCGAACCTTCAAGTTCCATAAAGTTCAAATAAAGTTCCGACAGAACTTTCAAGTTCCATAAAGTTCAAATAAAGTTCCGACAGAAATTTCAAGCCACATGAAGCAATCCGCACAAGTCTTTATTAGTAACAAAATTTAATGTACGTAAATATTAAATGATCAGTGGTCCGAATAAATCATAATTCTTATATTTATGCAGTGCATCAACATTCTATTAAAACATAAAAAAAAATTAAAAAGTAATTTCCTGGATTCGAACCCGTGTATTCGGCATGCGATCTACTAACGCTAACCACTGCGCCACAAATGTGTTGGAATACCATGCAGGCAAATACCAATTTCAAATTCATCAAGGTATTGTGTTTCGTATGCAAGTCAGTCAGCTGGCACTGAAAACTCCAACAGTAGGCGGGACAACAGCTCGCTTTAATATATTTCAGGTGACGCAGTGGTTCGTGCTGGGGCTCTCACGCAGAAGGACTGGGTTTAATTCTTCAAACAGCTCCAAAACTACTAATGCTGATAAATAAATACACATAAATACCTGCCTTTAGAAATAACTTTCATAAAAGTGCGAACTAAACATAGAATTGGTGTAGAGGGCAAAAACCTTTTTTAATTTATTTTCTAAAAGTTCCGTTCAAGTTCCGCCAGAAGCTGCTTAGAATTCTCTTCAATTATGATACTGGAACTTTCAAGTTCTTATAACGACTTAAAAATGAGGCTGCTTAGAATTCTAAAGACCATCACTAACTAAGCTGCTTAAGCCACAAATGACCTTTTATCAGAACTTTTGGTTACTTGGGGTATGTAAGTAGCCACCATCCTAGCTTGGGTCTTGCCCTGCATGCGGCTCCACTCAAAAGCAAGATCAATTCCATCATCATTCTGAATTCAACATACTGCTGTATGAAGGGCCAAAAAGGGTTGGACGGGCCGTAAGCAGAGGCACTTAGGCGAAACCCGCGGGAATAAGAGAATCTCCTTCCAACAATATGATCCAACAAAATGAATAACGAAATTCGCAATACATGTTAACCCTAATAAAAATTGTATGGTTAATTTGCTTAACGACGTGTTCTGGGTATCATCCAAACCATTTGTGGAATAGTTCAATGATTTAGGTTATCGTTCCCCGAATAGAAATTTACATTAGCCCAACGTTTGATTCTGGTGTCTACATCAGCATCGAAATCAAATGTATGCCTGATGTCAAACATTAGAAAACATTATGATTTAGTTGTATTTAAGCAACGTAACATGGTGTATACATCAGAAATTTTGGAACAAAATTTTGCCATTCTAATGTCGGTCTGACGTCAAAAATTTCAATCTATTGACATTAGAACCAAACGTTTTAAGGATGTTTTCGGATGTACAAAACGTTAGAACTAAACGTTGTTCGGATGTTTTTAAATGTAAAGGTTTTCTGATGTTTTCTAATGTAGATGTTTCCTGATGTTAGAAACAAACGTTTTTCGGTTGTTTTCGGATGTAAAAAATGTTAGAACTAAACGTTGTTCGGATGTTTTTATATGTAAATGTATTCTGATGTTTTCTAACGTAGATGTCTCCCGATGCTAGAACCAAACGTTTTTTGGATGTTTTCGCATGTACACAACGTTAGAACTAAACGTTGTTCGGATGTTTTCAATTGTATTTTGTGTTTGTTGTTCTCTGATGTTTTCAGATGTACAAAACGTTTAAAGTTAACGTTGTTGGAATGTTTTCAAATGTAGATGTTTACTAATGTTTTTAGATATACAAAACACTAGAATCTTACTTTTCAAATGCTTTCAATTATATTTACAACACATTAGAACTAGAAACATGATCGTGTAAACACTACACACCATTGTTGTTAGATAACATAATAAAAATGCGTACATAACAGTCAATGCTGAAGCTCCCGTTTCCCACCAGTCAGTTAACTGACCTTAGCTAACCTAATATCATTGCGGCAACTCTCTATGCGGCAGGGGAACTATGCCATTAGCGCGCTAAGAGTTGTTAGACCATTGACATAGGTGCCTATTCGTGGGTGACGAGGCACTTGGTGACATTACAGCGAGCTTGGCGATTTTTATAGCATTTTTGAGTGAACTACCAGACAACCATGACAATGTGATAGCTGCGCCTCCAGATCTTTGCCTGTTCTACAGATGATCCAAAAATGCGGAAAGTTTTGGGTTGCCAGTCTTCTACCTTATTGACGAACTGCAAATATATAATAAACAAAATTATTGTGCATGAAAAATATGACAATGGACAATGCTCGAGGAGCACTGGGAGTTTTCGAACGATGCGTGCTTAGGACCATCTTTGGCAGGGTATATGAAAATGGTGTATAGAGGAGAAGAATGAACCACGAACTGGCGTAACTTTATGGCGAACCCAATATCAAGAACGTCGCTAAAGGTGGAAGGGTACAATGGGCGGGACACGTTGTAAGAATGCCGGACAACAATCCCACAAAAATGGTGTTTTTCCTCAAATCCGGCCGGTACAAGACGCAGAGAAGCACAGCGTGCTAGGTGGTTAGACCAAGTGGAGCAAGATGTAGGAAGTGTGGGACGCTCGAGAAATTGGAGACAAGCAGCCAGGAACCGAGTTAGTTGGCGCAACTTTGTTATACAAAACCAGATTTAATGCCTTATTCATAATCGAATCGGTTGAAAAATACACTTAATCTTCTAGGCTTCTAGTTTACTCGATATCCATCCAATGCAAGCAATATTTTGATAATTGTTTATGTTTTGAGAGCTGGTGCACAGGTACATTGAGGTTAAGGAAACGCCACTGCTTGTGGCCAATCTTGGGTACCATCATAAGGCTTGATGAAACTTATTCCGCCCGGAAACATGTTTTTTTTTCCGGAATTATGAAGTCATTATACGTTATGATGACATTTTGTATTTTTAAGTTACAAGAGGACGTTGCAAAGGATGAGTTTGACGTATAAAACCTGTGCATTTAATTTTCAGAGAGTCGCAATCAGCGAATTCATTAAATCACTTATGGCTAAGCTCCAATCGGTATTACCCTCGGATTAAATCCCGATCAAGAATGTCCGGCTGCTTTGATGTCGACATCAGAGTTATTCGCTATACAAACAATTCGCAGATCATCAATACAGGGACGGTATTAAAAGTTAATCCGAGTTGGAGCTTACCGCCGCTTGCTCTCTGAATCTAATATTGATAGGCTGAAAAAAATGGTTTAAAAATGGAACCTAAATCCAAAATTTCATAAATTTTGGTTCACATGAACTATGATAAATCAGTGCGATTACATTTGCATATATCACCATTTTAGCGGCCCTCGCCATAGAGCGAACTCTCATTTAATGGATATTAATGTCATCTAATACAATTTATCGACAATTTAAATCTTTGTTTACAAATCGAGATGAATGTCTGGGAACGATAAAAATATATTTGTGCTCAGAAAACGAAGCTCGTTCAGATGATGTACAAAAATTTGTTTGTTTTTCGAAACTATACAACCCAATTCCAGGTTTTCCACACGAAACGAAAATTAATGGCACTACACTAATAGAATTCCACATATTTTTATTGACGAATTTCCATGTAAAATTCCACATGATTTACATGTGACCATACATAAACAGAATTCACCCAGAAGCACACATGAAATTTATAAGTCAAATGAATAGTATGCGTGGTTACACATGGCTTTTATGTGTACACATATTCAGTATGTGCCCAACACATAGATATAATTTGTATTGCAAAAATGAGACATATAAAAACAATATTTGAAATTTTATCAGTGTACAGGCTGTTGTAACGTT